TTAATTTATTTATGAGAGAGAGAGAGAGAGAGGCAGAGACACAGGCAGAGGGAGAAGCAGGCTCCATGCACTGGGAGCCCGATGTGGGATTCGGTCGCGGGTCTCCAGGATCGCGCCCTGGGCCAAAGGCAGGCGCCAAACCGCTGCGCCACCCAGGGATCCCTTAAAGGGTAACTTTTAAGTAGACAAAAACATTGGCTGCCTTATACAAGATAAAGATGGTGTTAGAAAAGTGCCTTTTCCAGTCTTTAATATTTATCAACAGGCAGGTGGGTATATTTTCAGTTTCCAATCAGTTATGAAATAATTGACATTTTCTGAAGTTCTGACCAGCAACCTAGTTCCATGATGGGTTTGAGAGGATGATTATTCCATCATGTCTTAGAAATAAGATGACGTATTAAATGCTTTAATTTTTTTGGTGCTAAGGTGTAATGAGACTTCCCAGAATTCCATGGTCAAAACAGCTCTTTTATCCAGAGAAGATCTATTTGAGTCACTAGTTCTATAAAGTTGTAGTCCTTCCTATCTTCCCATTGGGGGTTTTAATTCCTGGTCACACAGAAAAGGGGAGTTAAGTATGAAAGTAATAGCTGCATTTAACATCTCGAACTCCCCAGTAAAAATCCCTTAATGCTCTTCCTTGAATTACACACTCTCCATTATAGTTCCTTTTTTTGGAAACCAAGGAAAAGAACACTTCTGGAAGAAGGCAGTTCAGCAGTTCCTTTAACATGTTATGTCCAGAGGTTGATAGGGATAGGTGTGTGGGAGGAAGAGGGCATTATGAAATGTAAAATTAAGATTGGGGTATCTGGGTGGCAGTTGGTTAAGTGTCTGACTCTTGGTTCTGGCTCAGGTCATGATCTCAGGGTCATGAGATCAGGCCCCACATGGGAGTCTGCTAGAGATAGTCTCTCCTACCCATGAGTCTGTCCCTCCCACTCAATGCACGCTTTCTCTCTAAAATAAATCTTAAAGGAAAGACTAAAAGTAACATTACAAATGCCACAAAAGGCAAAAATACTAATTTTGGTGGTTTGAGACACAGTGGGGGGAAAATTGGGGTTTGGGAATGCCAATCCTGTTCCAGGAGAGTGCATTCCAAATTACAGGAGGCATCTGTGAGAGGGATAGACTGAAAGGGCTCCTAGGGATAAAGTGTATGTATTCATCTGTCTCTTCCTGATCCATTTATGCCATGTAGATCATGGCCCTCCACAGTTAAAATCTGGTGTATATTCTGGGTCATCCAGCTTAGGTAGGCCTAATTACTGGGATTCAAGTATTCAACACCATCCTTTCAAGCTCTGTACCAACATAAGCAATTTGTGCAGTTTGCTGGTGGGGTTGGGAGAATCAGGTTTAATTGGAAACATTTTAAATACTTAACATTGCCTACTGCTGTGTAACTTCTGAAAATTAAGTGAAAGCAAAGAGATAAATCCTAATCTTTGCTCAAATTACTGTCTTCCCACATCCCTAGTAGTTGAAAATTTTTCTTTCCCATCCTTTGTCCTTAAAAAAACACTATTACAGCCTTGATATATAAACATGACCTGTATTATACATTTTCATGTGTGACATGTCTCCTTCGCTAGATTGTAAACCTTGGGAGGTCAGAAAAAATGCATCTAAATCATTGTATCTGCCACCACATCTAGTACAGTGCCTTATATTCATTTGCTAATTCAATAAATATTAAAATAATGGAGATATTGGATTGTAGTCTGATGTTTGAGCCTTCTAGATGAATGCATTATCAACAATTTTTTACTTTTTTATAGTTTGAAAATATATACCTGACATACATAGTAATTGCATTTATCTAAAATTTACACATTTAATTGTACTGGCTCTCCATAGCTAACATTAGTCTGGAGTAGCACCGTCCAGTAGAAATACAATGTAAACCACTTATGTAATTCAAAAATTACATTAAAAGTTTAATAAATTGCATTAATATAACGACATTATAGAAATGAGATGAGATTAATATTTTTTAGCTCATTTTGGAAAAATCATGTTTTAAAAATTGAGATAATTTACATTCTTATTTTCATGTGAAGTTCTGATACGTATTTTACACTTACAGTACATGTCTATTCAAACTAGCCACATTCTAAATGCTCAGTAGCCAGACAATGGCTAGTAGCTACTGTACTGGACAGTGCAGGTCTAGAACTTTAAGGGCAGGCAGTGAACCTATCTCCTATTAGGTATCAGCTGTGATTTCAAGTCATTGTCATTTTAGGTTATTATCTAAATAAAGGTAATTGCTTTGGCTGCTCTTATCACATTTATAGATTCACACAATAATTTAAGAAAATTTTTCTATTAAGCATTGTATAAAGACATTTAGGGGGCATCTCTGGGTGGTTCAGTGGTTTGGAGCCTGCCTTCCGCCCAGGGCATGATCCTGGAGACCTGGGATCGCAGGGATCCTGCTTCTCCCTCTGCCTGTGTCTCTGCCTCTCTCTCTCTCTCTCTCTGTGTATCTCTCATGAATAAATAAATAAAATCTTAAAAAAAAATGTCTTTTTTTATTCATGAGAGATACACAGAGAGAGAGAGGCAGAGACACAGGTAGAGTGAGAAGCAGGCCCCATGCAAGGAGCCCGATGTGGGACTGGATCCTGGGACCCTAAGATCATGCCTTGGGCCAAAGGCAGGCGCTAAACTGCTGAGCCACTCAGGGATCCCCACAGTAGGCACTTTCCACCCAATTTATTTTTATTATTTTTATCCACCCAATTTAATCTCTAATAAAACTTCTGAAGAGATCTCTGTTTTAGAGTTGAGGATGCAGGGGTGGGTTGAAGTTGATCAAGTGAAGCTTGCTCAATGAAATACTGCTAGTAGTAGGTAGAGCTGGTTTCAGAATCAGGATTATGAGTATCCCTGCTTGAAGTTCCAAACTTTTAATAGAAATTTGTAAAAAAAATTTCAAGCTCTTTGCTTTGTAAGTGGATACTAGACCATAAGGTTAAAGAGAAAACATTTAGTGAAGTAAGTTATTTTATTTGATGACATCTGTATCAATAGTATAATTTCTTTTTCTTGCTTTAGGTGTGGATTTTAAATTACTTATTTGTAGTTCTTCCCATTTCTAACCATAATAATCATATGAAAATTTTAAGTATTTTAATTGTCTCTATTAAGAATCTGCTCATACAGGAAAAGTCTAGGTTGGATGTTCTAAAGATGTCTAATTTGCACAGGAAACATTCTATCTTTGAAATGTACTGGCTCTCAGTGCAAAGTTGAACAGTAGTTTCAGAACAAGCCTTTAAAGAAATAAAATATTCAAACAAAAAATATTGGCAATATAACCTCCCAGAAAAGTTTAATAAAATAACTTGCCCTTGTATTACTCAAGTACTTAATAGGCCCTTCATACATGTAGATGAGTTCAACATACACCTGTTATTTGTACTTTAGTGTACCCTAGAATGTTCATATAAACAAAGTGTTCTAGATTAATTCAATGACGAATAAAAAAGGCTGCAAAAGTGAGACCAGTATACTAAATGTTTAATCGTGTACCTTAAAACATTTAAAAAAGCACTAAGTTTTCTAGTGATGTTACACTCTATAAACAGTTTAATCAGAAATGGTACAGCATGAGTATATTTGTGATGTTGGTTTGGACAATACCGAATGATGAGGACCAGTGAAATATTATATACCACTGCGGAATTGTTAAACCATTATAGAAAGAAGAAATTTGACAGTATGTATCATGTTCTTTCCCTTTGATCAAGCAACTGTATTGTGGATCCTAAAAAAATCATTTGAAATGTGTATAAATTTATGATAGAAAATGGTAATAATCATTGTCAGCGAAATTAAACAGCACTAATAGTTTAGGCATTAACATAATAGGACGGCACATTCTGAAGGAAAATGCATCATCAAGAAGATCTGTATATTCATAACATGGGAAAAAAATCCATGAGACACTACATGCATTAAAAAAAAAAAATCTCTAAACATAATCTGTCTCCGCACTTTGGTGGGTAAGATCTTAAGAAAACAAATGAAGCTCCGGCTCTGGGGTTAGAACTACTTCAAATTCCGGTTTTGGTTAGCTGTAGGATTCTGAGCAAGTTCGTTTCCAATTTAGTAATCCAGCTGTAAAATGGGAAAAACCAGAGCACCTACATCGTGAGGTGTGAAGGTTAAATGAAGGTGTCTGGCGCGCCGCCTAAATAAATTTTACTCGTTGCAATGTCTTCCTGCGTCTCTCAGAGTAGCGGAGAATCGGAAATTAATATCTAGAAATGGGATGACTTAAGCAAAAGCTCCAAGAAGCAAGACTTGCCAACTTGCCTTGTCCAAACACTTGGGTTTCGATTAGGCCGGCGGGGCCGTGGTGACCTGAGCCCGACCTTACCTGTGAGCGCGCAGAACGTGCTCTCTCAGGGGCGGCGGCCCGGTGGGACTCCCGCGTGCCCAGGGTCGTTTTACTCACCCGTCCCCCCAGCCCTAGCCAAATAAGGACTCAGAGTCGCCCCCCCCGCCCGACCCGTTTTCTCCCTCGGGCGTCGCGGAAAGCTCGACCTGACCCCTCCGAAGCAGAGCCTACGCTGAGGCGCGCTGGAGAGTGATGGGGGCCGCGACAGGCGCTCCACCGCTCCGCCGGCTCGCCTCACAAAGACTACAGTCCCCAGCGGGCCCCGCGAGCTCCGAGTGTCCCTCAGGCAGGGCCCGGCGGCTGCGCGGGGCTGTACTTTCTCCCGTGCTCGGGCACAACCTTCTCTTTCTTCTCCGCGATACCGGCGGTTACTGGTTGCCGCAAGCTCCCCCGCCCCCCGGCTTCCGAAAAAGGCCAGTCGCCGGGGGAGTCCGGATCTCGGCGGCAGGTGGCGCGCGGACCCGACCAAGAGGGCGGAACCGGGGGGGGGCGCGCAGGGCCTCGCGCGAGGTGACGACCTCGGGCACGTCGTGCGGCAGTCCCCTCGGCCGGCGGCGGGAGGGGGGGGGGAGGAAGGGGGGCGGAGGCCGCGCACGCGCGGCGGGGCCTTGGGCGGGGCCTCGGGCGGCTGCACCGGGCGGAGGGTCCGCCGGTCGGCGGCTGTGTGGGGAGCCGCCGGGCCGGCGGGGCGGAGACGCGGGAGGTTGATGGGGGTTGCCTCGACCTCGGCCTCAATCTGTAGCACAGCTTCGGCCACGCCGACGGAGATGGTGCCCCGGGTGCGGACGATCGGGGAGAAGCTGAGGCAGCGGCTGCGGCTGGATGTGGGACGCGAGATCTGCCGCCAGTATCCGCTGTTCTGCTTCTTGCTGCTCTGCCTCAGCGTCGCCTCCCTGCTTCTCAACAGGTAACGCCACAGCGCGGGGCTGGCGGGCGGCCGCTCGGCCAGGCCGCGGACGCAGGCGGGGGCTGCTCCACTGGGGGGAGAGCGCCCGGGCTGCGCAGCTGCGGGGTTGCGGCCGGCTGCGAGGCCTCGGGAAGGGCGGCTTCGGGGAGCTGGGCGGAGCGTGTGGGCCGGAAGTGCGAGAGGGGGTGGGGCGCGTGGCCGTGCCCCTCTCCTGGGGCCGGCTCTCCCGAGACGCCCGTCCCCGATTCTTACCTAAAACCTGGTGCTCCATCATCGCTGCTTTTCAGAGGAGTGAAATCTGTAGGTGCGTCGCAATTTGAGACCTTGCAGGGGCGGTCCAGTCAGCTGACGAAGGAGGGTTCCAGGGCTCCTAGCAGCCCCGATTTTAGGCTGGCTCCCCTCGCTCTCGGCATAGGCGTGAGCACACACACGCACGCACAGTCTTGCAGTCGAGGCGCGCGCACACACAGTCTGAGAGTCGAAGGGCGTGCGCGCACACACACGCACACTTTTACAGCCGCAGTGCGCGCGCACACGCGCAGTCCTACAGCCGAAGCTTGCACACCTGTACACAGTCTTAGAGCGGAAGCGGGCGCGCACACACGCACAGTCTTAGAGCCTAGGAGTGCACACACGCATGCAGTCTTACAGCTGAAGCATGCACACAGGCTCACACACAGTCTTACAGCTGAAGGGCATTTACGCACACAGTCTTACAGCTGAAGCACAGATACGTGCACACAATCTTACAGCCTCAGTGTCCACACGCAGTCTTACAGCCGAAGGGTGTGCGCACATACACATGCTCACACAGTCTTAGAGCTGAAGTGCTCCCATGCACACACAGTCTTGCAGTCGAAGCATGCACAAGTGTATGCACACATGCACACGATATGGCAGCCTAAGCAGGCACATACACACTTGTACAGCTGAAGCACAAACACACACAATCCTCAGACTATGGGCTCACACAGTCTTGTAGCCAAAGCTTTCCTCAGAGTGGTTGGTTAAAACGGTTGCTTTAACGATTTGTTGAATACAAGTCAGAAAGCAAAATAGTACCTGTCTCAGTATTTCTAGAATATTCCGGAAGGGAAGATTGAAAGTTAAAATTGGTATGTTCAGTTGACATTTTGAGATGGGAAGGTTCTGCCCCTGAAACAAATTTGATTTTATTCAGTCAGCTATTTCCAGAAATGATAACCATGAAATAGGTAGTAGAGGAGAACTTTCCTTCAGATTATTTCCAGATTTGCTCCTGGTGGAGAGAAGTCTGAGACACTTGTCAGCAACAGCACCTACATGTTTTTTTCTGATTTTTTAAAAAAGATTTTATTTATTTATTCATGAGAGACACAGAGAAAGAGAGAGAGAGGCAGAGATCTAGGCAGAGGGAGAAGCAGGCTCCATGCAGGGAGGTGGATGTGGGACTGGAGCCTGTGACTAGGATCACGCCCTGGCCTGAAGGCAGACGCTCAACCGCTGAGCTACCCAGGCTTCCCTGTTCTGATGTTTTGTGCATGAAACCATCCATAGTCTTTATTTTGGGGTAGTTGATCCCTGAAGGTAGGAATGGGAAAGCATTCACCAGGAATTTGGTGATTTATTTATGTTCTAAGGTACCCATTTCCTGTGACTGTTAGAATTGAATTTTTTCCCTAGCCATATTGCTTTCTTCTTAGTTGACTCTGGGTTGATATAATACTAGGTTTATTTATTTTTATTTTTTAAAATATAATACTAGGTTTAAATAGCAGTTGATATTTTACTGGAAAATGTGCTTTGATGGTGATAGTAAGATATTTGATTTTAGAAATTTGGAGGAAGGGGAATCTTAACAGAGTTGAAATGAATTATTAAGTACTTACATGCTTTCGGTAACCTGGAAGGTATTTTAAGCTATGAATAGCTTTAGTATGAAGGATAGGTAAACTCTGTGATTAGTAAGTTTTGTCCAGGAATTCTTAACCCATCTCTTTTCGTAGATGGGTCAGTTTAGGTGTCCAAGGATGGGCATGCAAGATCTGATTGAACTAGATTTCTGAGGTCGCCTACTTAATTATAGCATCTAGGTGTTCTTCCTTAAGAAATCATAAGATACCATCTGATGTTGACCCTGTATCTTTATTTGTATTATGCAAAGAAAGAAGGATATATTACATAACCGTTATCTCTGATTGGTTGGATTTATGAGTGAAATTGTTTTTGCATATATTTTTGTGTATTTTTCCTTTGTTACTGTTGAAACCAGTAAAAGTCAGTAAAAGTGACTTTAAATGTCATCGAACTGTCTAGACTGAAAGAATGGTTAGGTACCTTGGGGGGCCTGGGTCAGTTGGTAGAGCATGGGACTCTTGATCTCAGAGTTACGAGTTCAAGTCCCACATTGGGACTAGAATCTACTTAAATGATTAAGTACCCTTTCCAAGGCAAAAGCTTTTGTGTTTTTTTTAAAAATATTTTATTTATTTATTCATGAGAGACACAGAGAGAGAGAGGCAGAGACACAGGCAGAGGGAGAAGCAGGCTTCATGCAGGGAGCCCGACGTGGGACTTGATCCTGGAACTCCAGGATCAGGCCCTGGGCTGAAGGCAGCGCTAAACCACCGAGCCACCTGGGCTGCCCAAGGCAGAAGCTTTTGGAATGTTCAAGACAGTGTATATTGTGTGCTTTTCAGTGTATTGTGTGATTTTTCTTTAGCATACGTGTATACATACATATGTACATATAAACGTGTATGTTTATGTATGCTTTGGCTGTCTCTGGAAGATTGTTGTACAAGAAAATGTCCTTTCTGGGAGTGGAAAATACTAGGTATATCTATTTAGAAATTAAAAAAATATATATAATATAAAAATAAAAATATTAGGGGTATAATGATGAAATGAGAAGAAATGGACACCTTCAGTAAGTGATTTCTTGGGGTGCCTGGCTGGCTCAGTTAGAAGAACACGTTACTCTTGATCTTGGGGTTGTGAGTTTGAACCTCACATTGGGTATAAAGATTACTTAAAAAAAATATTTGGGATGCCTGGGTGGCTCAGTGGTTGAGCGTCTGCCTTTGGCTTGGGGCGTGATCCCGGGATCTGGGATCAAGTCCCACATTGGGCTCTTTGCAGGGAGCCTGCTTCTCTCTCTGCCTGTGTCTCTGCCTCTCTCTCTGTGTCTCTCATGAATAAATAAGTAAAATCTTTATGAAGACATATATACTTTAAAAAAGTGATTTCTACACATTTCACCGGTTAGTTTTTAGCAATAACTTTAAAATAAATTTTCCAATTTGAAATCTTTACTGGTTAGTATGGAGATTTCGAGCTTTCCCTCTATATGGTTAAACTTAGAATAGTACTCTTTTAAAAAATTATTAATCTTTTTTAAAAATTTTATTTTAAATAGTCTCCACACCCAATGTGGAGCTTGAACTCATGACCCTGAGATCAAGAGTCACACACTTTATCGATTGAGCTAGCCAGGCACCCCTGAGATTTTTTCTATTATAGTCTTGAAACTTTAATTCCTAAAGGTCTTTCAAGGTATTATTTAGTATATAAATTTTTCTTTCCATATGAATTATCTGTGGAAAGATAAATAGTTCTAACTTTTGACTATTTTAAGTGATTTGTGGAAGGAATAGAGTAACATACTTTATATATTTCAAATTATTTATGATATCACTGTTGCAGTATTGTTAGGGAAAACTAGGAGTATAGATATAATTATATTCACCGATTGTGTTGAATATTTGAGTGTTATAAAGAATATTTTAAGTTAATGCTAGTAATAATAACAGTAATAGCTAACTGACCCTTTGAGTGTTTTGTTTGGCTCAGATACAATATTAAGAGTTTTTTTTTTATTGAGGTGATTTATTGTTGTGGCCGGAAGTTTTGAATCTGAGTGTCATTGTAAGAATTTGATTCTGCCTCCTCCATTAATCAGTTATTTGACTTTGGTTAAGTGATTTAACTTTTATCTGTCACAACCTCCTCATCTGTAAAATAGGGCAAATGACATATCAGATAAAGGGCTGGTATCTAAGATCTATAAGGAACTTCTCAAACTCAACACCCAAAAAACAAATAATCCAGTTAAGAAATGGGCAGAAGACATGCACAGACATTTCTCCAAAGAAGACGTACAAATGGCCAAGAGTTACATGAAAAAATGCTCCACGGCACTTGGCATCAGGGAAATACAAATCAAAACCACAATGAGATGCCATTTCCACCAGTCAGAATGGCTAAAATTAACAAGACAGGAAACAACAAATACTGGCGAGGATGCAGAGAAAGGGGAACCCTCTTATACTGTTCGTGGGACTGAAAGCTGGTACAATCACTCTATAAAACACTATGGAGGTTCCTCAAGAAGTTAAAAACAGGGCTGCCCTCTGACCCAGCAATTGCAGATTTACCCCCAAATATAAATGTGGAGATCCAAAGGGGCACCTGCACCCCAATGGTCATAACAGCGTTGTCCACAACAGCCAGACTGTGGAAAGAGCCGATATAGGGGATCCCTGGGTGGCGCAGCGGTTTGGCGCCTGCCTTTGGCCCAGGGCGCGATCCTGGAGATCCGGGATCGAATCCCACATCGGGCTCCCGGTGCATGGAGCCTGCTTCTCCCTCTGCCTGTGTCTCTGCCTTTCTCTCTCTCTCTCTCTCTCTCTCTCTCTGTGACTATCATAAATAAATTAAAAAAAAATTAAAAAAAAAAGGAAAGAGCCGAAATGAAAATTGACAGATGAATAGATGAAGAACATATGGCGTATGTATACGATGGAATATATAGCCGTCAGAAAGGATGAATATGAACCATTTACATCGACATGGATAGATCTGGAGGGTATTATGCTGAGTGAAATAAGTCAATCAGAGAAAGACAATTATCATATGGTTTCACTCACCTGTGGAATATAGGAAACTTCTTCTCATAGGGGATGAGAGGAAAACTTGAATGGGAAAGTCATCAGAGAAGGAAAAAAACCGTGAGAGATTCT